ATTTGCTATGAAGGATTTGGGCTTGCTGCGTTATTTCTTGGGTATTGAGGTCGCTCAGTCTAAGAAAGGCTACCTTCTTTCCCAGACTAAATATATATCTGACTTGTTTACACGGGCGGGACTTTCTGACAATCGGATTGTTGATACCCCTCTTGAAACCAATGCACGATACTCTCCTACTGATGGTGTTCCTTTGTCTGATCTGAATCTTTATCGCACTGTGATGGGAAGTTTGGTTTATCTCACAGTCACTCGTCCAGATATTGCTCATGCTGTTCATGTTGTCAGTCAGTTTGTTACTGCACCTACCTCTGTTCATTGGGGAGCTGTTCTTCGTATTCTGAGATATCTTCATGGCACTCAGTTTCAGACTCTCTTGTTTCCCTTGACGTCTTCTCTTGAGTTACGTTCCTATAGTGATGCTGATTGGGATGGTGATCGTCATGATCGTAAGTCTACCACTGGATTTTGTGTATTTCTTTGAAAGTCTCGTATTACATGGAAGAGCAAGAAACAGGATGTTGTCTCTAGATCTTCCATAGAGGCTGAATATCGTGCTATGGCTGTAACTACATGCGAGATTATCTGGTTACGGTGGCTGCTTGCGGATATGGGAGTTTACATTTCTTCACCTACTCCCTTGCATTGTGATAATAAAAGTGCGATTCAAATTGCGAAGAATTCTGTTTTTCATGAGCGGACGAAGCACATTGAGATTGATTGTCATTTTACTCGTCATCATCTGCAGCTTGGGACCATTTCGCTTCCATTTGTTTCATCAACCTTGCAGCTTGCGGATATTTTTACGAAGGCTTTATCGGCTTCTCGGTTTCGGTTCTTATGTGACAAACTCTCAATGCTTATTGCTGCGGCATTGTGAGTTTGAGGGGGGATGTTAGTCTATATATTATTAGCCCGCTTGTTTATGGGCCTTTTTTGTCTTTAGCCCATTAGGGTTTCTGTCTAGCTAGTATTTATATCCGCTTTATTCCTTGTAGTCTTTATGCTTTTCTCTGAGAACCCTTGTAATTTCTCTTTGTTATAATCATATGACAATGTTATCAGCGTCGACATCACCGGAGTCCTGAAAATCAAGTAAAAATATAAATTAGATGGAATCAATAAATTTGATGTTAGTGGTGGAGACGGTGGGGTGTGCTATATAATGTGGGTCTAAGTTTGTTTTGACCGATTCAATTGGCTGAAATTGAGATTCAATTGGCTGAAATTGATTAAATTGAGAGAATGTTAGTTCAAATGACTTTGACTGATTCACACTGGATAAAATCGAATTTTTCTGCGATGCATAACGTCATTGTATATGATGCCTTAAGGGTTATACCTCTTAAAATTTAGCATTTGAGGCTAAATGCTTATTAAGGTATAAATATATATATATATATATATATATATATATATATATATATATATATATATATATATATATATATATATATATATATATAAAACCTCAAGATCCATTCCGCGGAGCTACCTCCGAGGAATGAACTCATTCCCGCAGAGGTAGCTCCGAGGAATGGATTTTCTAGAAAAAAAATTCACATCGATTCTTCGGGGTTTATACTCATTCTCCAACTAATTATTTTCAAGAAAATATTATGATGGTATGAATTTTTCTTAACAATGTTTGGAATGAATGAGAGATGGAAAAAAAAATTGGTCTTTTAATCGAAGATATTTACATAAAAGAATTATTGGAGGTGAAATGTTTTTTTTTTCTGAAGATCCATTCATCGGAGCTACCTCCGCGTAATGAGTTCATTCCTTGGATGTAGCTCTACGGAATGGATCTTGCGGTTTTTTTTAATACCATGATTTATTTACGATTTTGTCATTCCACAGAGCTATAGTGGATTCCGCTGAGCGCTCAGAGCTTACCTCCACGGAATCTATGTCTATACCCGAAAATCTAATTTTTTGTGTCTATATTTTGAAATTCAACCTCAAAAAATATCTATAGCGGGTATTTTCCCTTATTATTATTATTATTATTATTATTAGTGTGTATATATATATATATATATATATATATATATATATATATATATATATATATATATATATATATATATATATATAGGGAAAAGTTCAATAGAGAACCATAATTATTGGTTCTTCAAGGAACCAAATCTTTTTTTTCAATTTCTAGAGCTTATTCTTTATCGAAAAAAAATCTAAAAATATCTAAATTCATATATTAAGATTGTGAATGTGAAAAATATTTTCGGATTTACCGTGTGAATCCGGATTCACATTGTGAATTTTCAAAGATTCACATTGTGAATTTGACGTAAAAAAAAAAGAAAAAAAAATCGAATTTGATATCATTGGGAAAATGATAAAAAGTTATAAATTTCTGTATTTTTAGTTTTTTTTTTGATAAAAAATAAGTTCTAAAAGTTGAAAAAAAGATTGGTTCCTTGGTTCCTTGGTTAATTATGGTTCTCTATTGAACCTCACCTTATATATATATATATATATATATATATATATATCTATATATATATATATATATATATATATATATATATCTATATATATATATATATTAGGGAAAGGATAAATTAAGAACAATAAAAAGGTTGAGAATGTGAGAAAATTTAATTAATTAATAATAACTAAAACTTAATTATTTTTGCCTATAATCATGGGATCTTATAATTTAGTTTCCATAATTATCGACGTCATATTAAAACAAATAAAGTCGTATATCTTAAATTGAATTGCTTATTATATCTTCGAAATTGATTATTTATTACAAAAAGTAAGATGTTATGTTTCCTTTTCGTTCTGGTTAATCGAAATCAAAAACATCTGGATTGATTTTCTCTTAGAAAATAGGATTTAAATGTTTCTATTTATTAGAATATAAAATGATTAATGATAAAAAAAAATATATCATGGTTATAAGAGTATTTATGTTATTGTTTCATACGAGTTCATTTGTACTTTTTTTGGGATAAGATATAAAAACATAATGTATTTTTGTTTAATTATATTCTATTTTTACAAGAATAAAAATTAGTTCATACAATTATATTTGTAAATAAACAAGGACTCTAGATTTTTCCTTAACATTTAATGATGATTGGATTTTACATTCAATATAATACAAAATATATCTATTCATCTATGATTATAATTAAAAATTTCTTTTATACACACGTACACGATTACAACAACAATAATTGGACTATTGGTACTAATATATGGATCAAAACAATACTTGGACTATCATTCATGTTATACTATCATCATCCATTGTCATCATCAATTGTAATTTCTACAAAAGAAAATTGCATGTCAATACAATACAAAGGTTAACAAAAATGTTTCAAAATTATTTAGCACAAAAATATTTATAAGATGCAATATTCATTGACGAATAAAGTGTCAACGAAATTTCTTTGACAAATATTTTTAAGACGAATTGTAAAACGATAATCATATATGCATTCACACTTTTATTCATATATGAATAAAGCTTTAAGAATAATATTCGTTCATATACTTATATCTATATCTGAATAGACCTCTATTCAGGAATGAATTAAAACTAAATTCATAAATTAGTGATGCAATTTCATGCAAAGATGATTAATGGGTTCAAAGTTCTATTCATGAATGAACAAAGACAAATTTATAAGTTTATGATACAATTCTATTGGTAGATGATTAATGGATTGAAACTCCAAGAAATACTTCAAATTTATAAATAACAATACTTATTCATTGGTGAATAAAAATAATTTAGCCCACTACAATAATACAATAATATAATTATTCTCCACTACGAGATAATCTAAGTAACAAAAATTGAAGATACGTCTTGTTTGAAATATATAAAATATATATTCATTTGAAAAATATTCATAAAAAAAATAAATAAATACTTTTTTTTGAGGTTTGGGTTAAATTATGAGAGAAAACAATCATTAGTGAAGAAACCTTTATTATCGGCGCCTCACATCTTCCTTCTTACTTGGTTTTACATTCAACACTAAAATTTGCGATTCTTCTCCGGTTACATCCGTGCTATAAGATATTCAAAGCAAATATAAGAAAAAATGAGTATAAATTGTCGGGTTTTAACCGTTGGATAATGATTACCGAATCCTTCTTTTTCTTTTTGAGTCGATGTTGAAATCTTGATGCATCTGCTAATCCATCATGAGATCTATATTCATTAATTAAAGCGATTAAACATCATACATATGATGAGAAATGGGAAGTGAACATAATGAAAACCTGTAACTTAAATTCTTGATGTATCTGCTCGAAATAAACACACGAAATGGGACATCGGTGATGGTTCTGAATATCAATATGGCGCCAGAGAAGACAGACGATAGGAGCAACGAACGTGAACGACGGTGTCTTGAGTGACGGTGGTCGTTCGGAGGTGGTTAGTGGTAGTGGTGGGGCGTTAGGACGATGATCATGACAATGGTGGATGTCGATGGTGGTGGTCCGCCATTTTTTCCGAAGACGAGATGTTGGATCGAGAAAAAACACAATTAGGGTTCTTTTTCTTTTTCAGCCGGAGTGTTGGAATGTAGGTGAAGAGAGATAACGTTGGCTAATTTTAAGGAATAAGTTTGTGGATGAATTACTTTAATATCCTTTTGGTATATTTTAAACATAAAAAGGTATAAATTAATTGAAAAATTAAATAACTACCAACTTAATATCAGCCATTGATTTTGAAATTTAAATGGTCTTGAACTGTTCTCGCGTTCTCCACATTTTAAGTGTTTTTATTTAATCCTACTCCAACCTATATATATATATATATATATATATATATATATATATATATATATATATATATATATATATATGGCCACGTGTATGGCTGACCTAGCCAGCTCAGCCGACCGTCTTAAGTGTTCTAGAATATTACACGTAAGCAATGATACAGACCCCATATTTTGGCTTTAAAGAAATAAAAAAGGCACCATATGAATCTTTAACACGTAGCCCAATATTCCATCACAATCATTAACGATCCTTTTCCTTCTTACTCTCTCTAAAAGTCTAACCCCAGCTTCGTCTCGTCGTGAAAAGCTATGGCTCAGAAGAGAGAGAAAGAGGAAACGGAGCTCAAGGTTCCTGACACTTTAACCACCCTCTGTACACCACCACCGGTAGCTGCAGCTCCATCTAAGATCTCCGGTTCCTATGAGCATAGATCGGATCCGAAGAGTGGTGGTTCCACCGACGTCATCGTTGAAGTTAGAGAGACATGCGCTACCTCACAGGAACCATCATCAACGGCGGTTGATAATAGGACGAAGAGGCGCCAGTTGAATCGGTGTTCAGGTTGCCGGAAAAAAGTTGGATTGATGGGATTCCGATGCCGTTGCGGTGAGATGTTCTGTTCCGAGCACCGGTATACCGATCGACATGATTGTAGTTATGATTACAAGGCCGCCGGACGTAAGGCGATCGCTCGTGAGAATCCGATGGTGAGGGCTGTGAAGATACTAAAAGTCTAAACTAGAATTAAAAATCAAAACCAACATTGATTGTAGAAATTTTAGTTTTTTGGTTATCTTAAATGATGAAATGGAAAACTAGAATTGCAATCTGAGAACTGTGGAAGGTAATGGTGTCAAAATTTGCATTTCTTGTATTCATTCAGTAATTTTTATAAACATAGTATACAGTGTTGTTCGAGTATTTGTAAATCAACCACACTCATTAATTTGATAGAGTATTTATACAAAAGTCCCTAATGTATGTATGGAAATAATTATTTTTCTGTCCCAAATTAATAGTCCATGTTTTCTTTTTTGTTTGTCCCAAAATAATAGTCCACCTGTAAAATTAAATATCACTTTTACCATAATACCCTTCATTATTAAACTATCTTGGAATTAAATAGGGATAATAACTTAAAAGGGTAATGTATTTTTTGATTTGTATACATTCATTCACTGATTTTTTTTTCGTTCACATTTACCCATTCAACTTGTTAAATTGTACATATTTAGTCCTTATGACCGGCTACTCCAGGTTAGTCGGTAAAAATGACTTAATAGGGTAATATATTTCTCACTTTGTACATAGTCCTTAATATTTTTATACACATTTAGTCTTTAATATATTTTTTTGTTGCAAAATAAGTCATTTTTGTTTTTGTACTCATTCACTACTTATGAATGATTTCTTTAGGTTTTTCTCACAACATCTTACGTGGGATAGTCATATGGTGGTGGGATAGGTTGAGGTGGTCCTGTTATATGTTGTAGGCCAATATACCTGGTGCGGGCCGGTTGTAAGCCGTAGGCACGGAGGCTCGAGAAAAGCGGTTGGGTTAAGGCGGCATGCCGACAAACCCTAGGTATTCCAGTCTGATGACTGATTGGACTTGTTGCATGTTGGCATTCCAGTCTGATGGCTGATTGGGCCAATGTATTCCAGTCTAATGAGTGTGGGCTAATTATGCATGATAATACGTTTGTTGTATCGAGTATTTTGGGGGAAACTCACTAACCTTTGTGCTTACCCAGTTGTTTATGTTTTCAGGTTATATCGTTGATCGTGGGAAGGCGAATGCATGACTGTACACACTCATCAACAATATTGAGGATTCCGTGTTTCTTATATTACTCTGATTTTCGATAAATGTATTTTGGAATAAACGTTTTTTCTTAATAATGGATTTATAATTAGGGACTTTTGCCTTATTTAAAAATGAAAATTTTTAGTTGTGAAATGAGACGTTACACATAAACATCAACAACCCCACACACTTCATCAATGATTGTCCCACGTAAGATGTCGTGAGAAAAACTTAAATAAATCATTCATAAGTATTGAATGGGTACAAAAACAAAAATGACTTATTTTGAAACAAAAAAATATTAATGACTAAATGTGTACAAAAATATTAAGGACTAAATGTGTACAAAATGAGAAATATATTACCCTATTAAGTTATTTTTCCCGGCTAACCTGGAGTAACCGGTCATAAGGATTGAATGTGTACAGTTTAACAAGTTGAAGGGGTAAATATGGACGCAAAAAAATTCAATGACCAAATGTGTACAAATCGAAAAATATATTACCCTTTTAAGTCATTATCCCAATTAAATACAACTATCATAGAATTAAATGCAACGAAAGGGTATAATTGTCATTCCATTTAATAAAGTTAGTGGTAATTAATGTTTTTATTAATTTGTGTGTTTTTTGTCTGTAGACAATAATTTTTGGGACGGAAGGAGTATAAATTAATAATATTCTAACCTAATACAAATACATGACTAGACGTCTAATATGCCCCCTGAGCTAGAGCAACCAATTTTCGAACAAAGTGAGATTAATTTCAATATGTTATGTGAGTTAGACTAGAGGGAGTGGTGGTTCGTATGCTAAGCTGTCACATCACTTTTTTTTGTATGCCAATTAAGCTTAGCGTGATGTTAGGAGACTAGGAGTGGTGGTGTATTTAGAAGATAAAACACTTTTTTTTTATTAAATCAAATAAATGTTTATTTAGCTATTTAAATAAAATAAACTTTACCAGATTGCTAAGTATTTGAAATTAAAATAGTCAAATGGTCAAATGGGACCACCTGTGTTCCTCTCCCTCTTCTCTTTCATCTCACCAAGCATATAGCGTGTTCTTTGCGCAAACCCTTAACACACGCTAAGGGGTGGTGTTGATGCATGCCAAGCTAGTTGGCGAGTGGGCTTGATACACCCACTCCCAATAGGCAATAGCCTTAGAAAATGGTCATGTGGAAATCATGTGGGGAATGCATGTGAAGACAAATTTGTTGAATGTTACGAGATAGTCAACCATGTAAAAGTTAAATATTGAATAGCAACAAGGCTATGATAAAGAGTAGAATAGAGTAAGGGTGTCTATTATTGTTGCTAACTTTGTCTTTGGTGTCTATTGATGATTGAGTGGGTTTGCAAGATGACATGCTTGCAAGTTCCAAAACTCAGATATCAATATTGTGTGTGGGGGGGGGGGGGGGGGGGGGGGGGGGAGGTGGGGGAGAGAGAGGGAGGATTTTAGCATCAATAGGATGCTTTTTTCATATTTTGGGTTATCACATTTCACTGTTTTGAATGAAAAGTTTTTGGTTAAAAATTAGAACATATGATGGGTTTTCAAAATGGCCAATTTTGAGTATGTCACATTTAGGCCTCTACGTCACAGCCTTTCGCCACTCCTAATATCAACGAGATCACCAAAACAATAGTCAGATCATTAAACTTGGTTTTTTGATTTGGTATTGACTTTTGGTTTCGATAATCCAAACCAAATGGATATGAATTTTAGTATATAGGAGGAGCCTTCACATGTCGCAACCAATCATCATTACAATTTTCTAAAATCAAGTAAACATGCAACCAAAGCATAACACACCCATGTAGAAAAAAAAAACAAAAAACAAAAAACAAAAGTCTTCATTTGATTAATTTGGCTCGATCAAATCTACACTCTCCAAAGTCTCTAATTGTTTAACTACTAAGCTTGTAATGAAGAAGACGATGTTTTCTGCCACAAAGGTCTCCCCAAAATCGCACTTCCATGTGTAGCAAGATACACATAATTTGACCTATAAAATAACAAACAAAATCCAAATCAAAAACTTTAAGCATCATATTCATATTCTATTACAAAATACATTTAAAAAAAAAAAAAAAAAAAAAAAAAAAAAAAAAAACTTACTTTTCAACATCTGGAGTAGCCAAAGGATCATAAATTTCCTCCCTTTGTTCCACAGGTGGTGCAACACCTCCCACAACACCCATCTCCTGACCACCTTCACCCTAAATATTATAATCCATAAATAAAATATTATATTTTCACATTTTTTAAAAATGTATTACAAAAAAAAATGGAAAATGGAAATCATCTATCTTGCCTGTTGAGGATACTGCATATAACCACCATATGCAGCACCATAAGCATACAATGATGGATCTTGAGTTGCTCCATAACCATAAGCATCATACCCTTGACCATAACCATAATACGCACTCCCCCATTGACTTTGATCCGCCTGTTGACCCCACACTCCAGATGGATCCTACATTTTAATTTTCACCAATTCGGTAAAAAAAAAAAAAAAAAAAAAAACTAATTTTGAGTTTTTAGATCATAATATTACTTTTTGCTGAAAAGGGTGTTTGTTGCATGTCATAATTCAAACAAGGAAATAGTAATCAAATGTTCACCTGTTTAGCAGCTGTGCTTTTTCCCCAAGAAAGGTGGACTACAGTTTGACCAATTTGACTTCCATGCATCCTTTGAATTGCTTCTTCAGCAGATGTCCTACAGGAAAATAGTAATCAACTTTTTACAGTTTTTTCATGTATCAAGTTTTTTTTTTTTTTTTTTTGGGCAAATTTAAGACTTACCTGTTGACAAACTGAACAAACCCGCATCCTTTAGCTGCAGGAATTTTGACATAAACTATTTCACCAAATTGCAAGAAAATCGACCTCAATTCCTCCTCTGCAACACCAGGGTCAAGATTGCCAATATAAACCTGAAATAAGTAATAACAATAAGAAAGAAGAAAGGTATAAAGAAAATGGACATAAGGGTGTAATTCAAAGAGTCAGACTTACAGTTGTGTTTGTTAGATCAGTGTCCACAGGAATAGCAGCCACTGTAGCTGGATATAAGCCTAATCAAACAGATTCAAATGAGAATTTTACAATATGATTAACAGAAAAAAATAGTAAATAAGATACACGAATACACTACCTTTTGGTGCTACGTATTGTTGTTGGAAGGCTGTGGTCTTCTTTGGTGTTGCTGCGCTGATTCTCATTGGTCTAGTTGAGCAATAAATCCCATTCATTTCACTCATGGCACGATTTCTTTCCATTTCGTCTGCAAATTTAACAAAACCGTATCCCTTTGAGCGTCCTGTGTTGGGATCTGTGACAACTTTGGCGCCTCTTACAGAAGGATATTGAGTGCGAAAGGTTTCTTGCAGTAAATGATCGGTAACATCTGGTGCTAAATCGCCTACGAAGATGGAATGTTCAGGGCCAGCATCAGGGCGTCGTTCTCCGATGCCTGAAGATGCCCAATTTAACCTAAAACTTAATTCTGTTCCTGGGATTTGCGTCCCGTTGTATGATTGTAGAACCCTTTCTGCTGTAGAATGTGAAGCGAACTCCACAAATCCGTAACCCTCTGGAAGCCCTGTTGCTTTGTTACGGATTACTTTTATCGAAAGCACCTACAAAGGAAGCTATGGTCAATTTTTGGGCCTCTTAAAAACCCTAAAGGCCATAACAGACGTAAACATAAAAAAGATTTGGTGAACAGTGTGTGTGTGTGTGTGTGTGTTGGGGAGATGTAGTTAAGAATTAGAAGAACCTCGTTGGTGGCGGCGAACCAGGAATGAAGGTAGGATTCGTCAGCCCAGTAGGGTAAATCACCGATCCATAGGGTACGGATCTCTTCGTGAGAGGAGGGCTGGTGGTAGGGTTGCGGCGGAGGCGGTGGCGCTCCGTAAGCATACTGCGGCTGTGGCTGTGCGCTCATCATCCATTGTTGTTGCCCACCTTGTGCTTCCATCTTCCTTCTCTGTGGGTGTCTGCTGAATGTCCTGAATGTGATGGAAGGCTCTATTCGCTCTTGCAATTTTGGCTTTTGAGGGGTGGGTGTTTTCAGTTTTTGTTAAATTTTTCAAAAATAAAATAAATAATAATAATAATAATAATAATAATAATAATAATCTTTTAACGAGAAATTGTATTTACTTTATCATATATAAGTAGCAATTGTCCATTTCCTATTCTGCTGAGATGCGGATGAGGTTTTGTTTAGTATGTTTTGTTTTGTGTGCACCATTTTGAAAGGCAGTATTAATTTTTACAAAAAGATGGCTTTATTTATTTGTAGAGAGACTAAACTTGCCGAGACATACAAAAGTATATGGACAAAACCAACAAATATTCCAATATACGAAAGTTCAAGGGTGGAAGATGTCGATGTTTAAATTTGAGGGGATAAAAGTGATGTTTTACAAAATAAAGGAGTCAAAAGTGACATTCTACAAAGTAAGGGTGGAAAGTGCCAACATACGAAAATATAAGGATCAAATATATCAACAAAGAAACTTTTGTGGCCAAAGTGTGGAACCACAAACAGTATATACTGAAGGGACTAAATATGTAAAAAAAATGAATTTTTGTGGCTAAAGTATAAATGAAACATGTGTGGCAAAGTATAAAAATATGAAAGTGCACTGTTTATGAGTACTTTTGTTTTAATATATAGTATAATTAGGTTTTATTAGAAAAGTCATATTATTTTTTAAAAAAAAAATTGATAAAGTCTTAAATGTTTTTTTAAGAGAAAAGTTTCGATGATTTAATATTTTATCCAAATTAACGAAAAGTCATTATTTTTATTTTAACAAAAAATGACAGTTTATCATGTAAAATTAAATAATCGAGATTTTTCTCTTCAAAAAGAAAATTAGGACTTTATAAAAAAAATCTCAAAATAATAGGACTTTTCTGCATAAAACCCTTTATAATTTTCTCACGAAATAATTATCGAATATATTTCATATATTTTAGTAAGACAATACTTAGTAGTGTATACTTAAAAAAATTAATTAAATTTCAATAAAATTTTAAAATGTAATGATTAAAAACAAATTTGGTTATACATATGTTATCCACTTT